ATGACTAAATACATGGTTTATGTGCCATTAATCAGTGCTGTATCTACAGTTGAGGCCCATGATGCATTATGTATGTCCGTCTAACTATATCTCACCCATGTCATCCATATCCCATTCCATACCCACCTTCAATGCTATGTCACATCAGTATCATTAGTTTGCTTAAGAATCATCAATTTGGAGGGGTCTCAGGAGAAGTGTTGTCATCTCTCACAATTAACTCAACGGGGTTCTGCTCAGCCCAGACAGCTGCATCTTGATATCCAAGCTCATAAAGTTTGTCGAGGACATAGTCTTCTGCTGGCTCGAGTGCCCATTGAAAAAGCTGCTCATTATAATAATCTTGAAACCAATCAGAAATTTGTATTCAAATATAGAATGACGACAGTCTATTCAACAATTCAATCATAACTGGTAATTCACAATTTCTTTTGAAACAGATGCAGGTATTTCATAATTCACACTCCAAATTCAATTGTGTGATTTTTTTCCCATGGAGACATCCAGAATTGTGATTAGGAAAATTCTCACAAGAAAGGGCAAGGGGGAAAAATGGAAAAAAATATATAATCATCATCATCATCAACATCATCAGACCTTATGCCAACTATTTGGGGTCGGCTACACAAAGTTCCGTTATTCTACTCTATCAAGGGCCACACCCTCAGAAAGACTATAAGTTCCCATATATTTTCTTTTCTCACTACTGGAGAAAGGAAATATGTTTAACAAAAAAAATTTAAGGGGGCTATTTTAGCGATTTGATGCACAGACTCATTAAGTGACCACATCTACCAATGCATCTTATTCTGGCTCTCTTTCATAATTTCAAAAAGACATAGGAAAACAATATTGTGAAATGAGGAAAGTATCCATTTTCAAAACAAGCTTAATATTTTTTAAGAGAGATTAGTTTTAAAGAGGGCTATTTTTAACTATGATGAACAATACCTGACGAGGGGTTCCTCTATCCACAGGATTGCAATCCGGACTTATTCCAATCCCAGTCAATCCTAGTCGGGTGGCGGGAAATGCACAAACACGTACCTGCAGTGCAAAATCTATCTAGAGTCAGGAGAAATGTTGATTCAATAGTTATCACTTTTTTGAAGGATGGCTATTATGGGGACTCATAAATAAAGTCTTAAGTAAATAATTTTCTTATCAATTTAATGAATAAGCTGAAAGTCATTATCTAAAATAGAATAAAATAAACTAAAATCACCGTTTTAGCAGCAGCAGTTGGAGGCATGAACAATGTCAAACCGCCATCTATGCAGAGTCGGTTTCGGAAGAGTGTCACAGGCCTTGGCGCTAGGTACCTGAATGGTATCAAACTTAAATTATAGAGGGGAGAGAGAGAGAGAGCTTGCAATAATCAAATAACAGAAGGGACTGGATGGGGCCAACAAATAGGCCCATATATACCCTGGGATGAAGGAAGAGGTAATGACTGCATTGATAAGGTCTTCCTTTGAGTCAAACTGATCCACAAGTAAACCCCTTGGCTTCTGAAATATTTGTGTAACAGCAACTGTAGCAAAAAGAGATGAGGATGTTAATTATAGGTCATAAGTCATACAGACAACATTGTGGTATCTTTAAGTAAAATTCTCTATGGATAGATCATTGAGCCTCCAGAAATTTATAATGAAAATTCATAATGAAATTTATAGTGAAAATTTTCTCTAAAACTTTATAATGAAAATTCATCTGCAAGGCCAAGGACGTGTCTTGAGTCTCTAGACAACCAATTCGTTGAGCCTTACAGATTAAATGTTCGATATTGGAAGATAATGAGATTATAAAGGTGGAAAATCAATGTGTTAAACAAAGAACATCGATAAAATTGCATGTAGATGTTGAACTTTTGTGCTCTGGAAATGGGTTGAAGGTACATATTTTAAGGATAAGTGAAGAATCTAAGTTGGATAATGTCTACATACCATTATTGTTTTATGCAGGACCAAATACCTAGTTTTTGTGATATTTTTATTGCCTAGGTGTGGTGTAAAGGACAATAGAAGAAACAAGCCCATACTAAGAAAGTAGCCAAATACCCTACACATAAAGCATAGAAAATTCGTCATCAATAATAATTGTACCTGGAGAGAGCTAAATCTAGGTTTTCCTTCCTTCCCTCAGTTCCAACCTCACACATTGATGCATGACAAGATGCCTCCTATTTTTTAATTTTTCTTATTGAATTTTAATAATGTATTTTTGGAATTATTTTAGGGTTTTTAAGTTATTTTTAGGGATTCTAAGAGTTTTATATTATAGGTTTTTAGGAGATGTTTAGAAAAGTGGTTAGAATTATGGAAGTACTTGTTTTATTAGTGGTAAAAATGTCATGACGAATTTTCTTTTAAGTGAAAGGACTTATTGGGTATTTTTATAATGTTTTAACTCATGTGGATGTAGTTTTGATCTTTTGTTATTATAATAAGTTTTGGGGCATGAACAGTAAAAACAAGGTGCGAACGGTACCAGCAAACCCTATCTAGGGTTTTGGGGTCTCTTTTTTGTCCATGGAAAGCTAGATCCACTCAAATCTGACCTGTTTTGATGGTTTATTGAACTATTTGTCTTTGTCTCTATTTTCCCACATCAATTGGTATCAGAGCTAGGTTTTCTTCAACAACAAAGCTGGGAATTACAACCAAGTCTTAGGTTTGTTATATTTAGACTGAGTTGTTTGTCAATCAGCCTACAACTTGCTAGTTTGAACTAGGTTTTATTGGTTCTCTGCCCAGGGTTTGTAATTTCGGTGAACCTATGGCAGCAAGAATAGGTCGAGGCAGGGTTATTCATGTGGATCCACCTTGTGATGAGAGGGAACAGGAGATAGAGGATCAAAGGCGACAAGTTCAAGAACTTAGGCATCTTGCAGGCATTGATCATGGGTGAGATGAAGTTTGGTCCATCCAAGATGATATTGAGTACAACCCTTTTCACTCTCATGCTCTGGGGGATGAATCGAGTGAAGAGGATTATGATTGGAAGTATAGACGGCACTCAAATCCATACATCTAAAATTAGCATTCATGATTTTGAATGAAAGTCTCGATCATTTTGTAGATTGGTAAACACAGTAGAGAGGCTCTTTTATTACAAGGATGTGCCAAAGAACAAAAAGATTAAAATTATTGCCATTGAGCTGAAGAAAGTGCTTCGATATGGTGGGAACATTAGCTCACAGCAGGAGAGACTGCGAATGCCCAAAGTTCATACTTGGCATTCAATGAAAAAGAAATAAAAAGAAAAGTACCTAACTGAAAATTATTTTCCATTCCCTTATCAAAAGATGAGTAATCTTCGTCAAGGAAAAAAGAGTGTAGAGAGCATGCCAAATAAATTTTGAGTTAATGGCTTGTAGTGATGCGGTTGAAACAAAGGAACAGTCCTTAGCTCACTATGTTGGTAGGTTAGAGAACATCTATAAAAGATTTGATGGTTTTGCAGCGTTACTAGACATTCGATAAGGCTAACACCCTAGCAGTGAAGGTTGAAGCTCAGCAGAGGTGTCCATCATCAAGGTGGGGACTCAGCCCAGGGTAATACAAGTGGCCATGGGAGCGAATCTAGGGGAAAAGGAGTCAGCCCAGGGTAATACAAGTGGCCATGGGAGCGAATTTAGGGGGAAAGGAGCAATTTGATGGCTGGATAGTCCTCACGATCAACTGGCCCGTCCAAAAGCAGGATACAGTAGGTGTTGGGGCCAGTTCAAGTCGCCCTGCCCAAACAGTAGAGTTATTAACTTCTTTATGCGTTCGGGAGTCGGACATGTCTCCTCTCTATGCCTGAATAGAAAATTTGTGAACCTTGCAGAGGAGTTCCTTGAAGAGGACAGCAAGCTATCTTATGATGGACACCCTGTTTATGATGAGGAACCTGAGGTGGCAGGGCCAGAAGTTACCTTAGTGACCATGGCAAGGCTTTGGTAATCCGGCGTAGCATGATTACACCCCGAGTAGTAAACAAGGCAGATTGGTTAAACTCGAAAAATTTCTCATCAATGTGCTTCCAAAATCAATAGGTCATTGATTGAACTCTCCACCGGCCTTTGATGAGTGTTTAGATGAAGGTAGTGATCTAATTTTTTATCAAGAACGGGGTGGGAAGATGACAATGGTCAAGACAAAGAATGGAGTTTTGGAGGAGGAAACTGCTAATTTGTTTAGTGAACTAGGGGTTGGAGATGATCATCTTGAAGATGCTCCCATGGTCTGTTCTAGGGCGGAACCAAGGCAATTTCAGTAGGGTATGATGGCTGTGTTGAGGTAACTTCAGCTAGTTTATGTGACTGAACCGAGCGTACATATCATAGTCATTCTATCGACATGTAATGACCCTTTCCTTGAGAGGTTCTTAAAAGTGGTTTTGGACATATCAAGTGATTGCAAAGAGTCAATTTCAGTGCACAACCGTTGCGTTTTGATTAGTTCAATAACTCACAAGTCCCAAGATCATATTTTCAGTATTCCGGTTGAAGAAGGTTGTAGAACTAACATAAGATCTAAATTAGCTTATTTCAAAACTTGAGGACAAGTTTTCTCCAACTAGGGGAGAATGATGCAAGACAAGATGCCTCTTATTTTTTAATTTTTCTTATTGAATTTTAAGGATGTGTATTTGAAAATATTTTTTTTTTTTAAGATTTTTTAAATTTTCTTAGGGATTATAGGACTTCTTACATATTTTTTAGGAAGTTTAGGAGATATTTAAAAAAGCGATTAGAACACTTAACGAAATTTTTTATTTTAGAAGGGTAAAGTCTCATTGCGATTTTTTTTTAAGTGAAGGCACGTATGGGGTATTTTTATAATGTTTTTAACTTAAGTGGAGATAGTTTTGATCTTTTTAGTTTTTATTATAATATCATAAAAGGGCCTGAGATGTTAGGGTTTCTAACAATTTTTGGGGCTTGAATAGTAAAAAAGTGTAAAGAGTACCAACAAATGTTCCAAAAAATGCTGGGCAGTGCCTAGGCAGCTAGGGGGGTCCTGGCCACCCAGATTTCCGGGCAGCCAAGGTGAAAGAATAGGGGTAGGATGTGTGTGATCCAATTGTTTTAGGTCCAAATTCTGTATAAAAAATGCATATTGAAGCATAATACATTAAGAATGCATTACACAGCATATCCATAATCCATATACAATACCATTAGTCCATATTCCATACACAGTAAAAAATGTATATTGAGGTCCAAAGTATTTGAGATTTGGACAATTAGTTAACAACACATTAAGAAAAATAGGAAAATATAATCCAACATTCAAATTCAGTACTAAACAGAACACACAATCCATAGTCTATACACTCCATACTCCATAGACATAAGAAGAGGGGAAAAATAAGGAAAGAAATATAGACTTGAAGACTCAAAAAGGTTAAAAAAAGGTTAAAAAAAGGTTAAAAAAGGGCGGTTTAGGTCACAATAGAACCTAAAGTGTTCCCCCCCCAAACTTAGGGTGAGAAGAACTAAAATGCCCCACTACAAGAGGCATATTCGCCCATGGGCAGGCACAATACCTAGGCGGGCACCCAGCGCCTAGAAGGGCTGCCTAGGCCTGGGCGCATCGCTTAGGCCCCCTTAAAACTGCACAAGTAAGTCCTATCTAGGGTTTTGAGGTCTCTTGTTTGTGCAAGGAAAGCCAGATCCATTCAAATCTGGCCTATTTTGATGGTTTATTGGACTTTTTTTGCCTTTTTTTCTCTATTTTCCTACATCACACGTTTATAAGGAAGACAAAGTAAATTGTGTACAACAAAATTGTCTAAATTTTCAAGAAATTGGAGATTGATTTTCAGTACAAAGAATAACTCATTACCATACTTGGTTAAGAAGCAAGACTAACTATCGAATTTCCATAATCAAGCATTCAAGTTTTTCCAAAATAAAACAAAAATTACCAATAAATGCTTTACCATTTAAAGAAAAATGTTTCTTTGTTTGTACAAGCGCTTAATAGAGAGTATGACAAAGACTTCCAATTGCATATGAGCAAACTTCAACAAATCCATATCCAAGCACTTGAGATACCTTTATGAATAAATATTCCCATGACACTCTTTCCTTGGAACACAACTGGATTCAAATCCATAACATAATGAATGAGAAAGATAATTCTGAGATAAGTACCAAAGGCAATATTCAAATACATTTTAGAATTTAAATTACAAGGTCTCTTGACTTGATATACTTTGATTTCTCAAATTCTAGCTCGTAACCTCAAGGTGCAAACCTATCCCAAATATCTTTCAACCTTGTCTTAAAAAAAACGTCTTTGAAATGCATATTAACCACATATAGATATCCCAAATAAACAAATATAGTTATCCCCAAAAACCCATTTAAAAACATAATTCTTAAAAAATTCCTTTAAATTCTTATCAACCAAATATATATAAGGATAGCTAGTCTTTTCCCCAAACTGCCTTCTACGGTTTTGGTTAACTAGCATCAATTCGCTGAACCAAACGCTCATTCATTTGCTTTTCCATCACCAATAAATTAACTAAGTAAAAGGA